TGACCAAAGATCTTTGATACCTTCCATAGATAGATGCCAAGTAAGCACATGAAAAGAGGCTTCACAGTCATATGTCATCAGGAAAATGTAAATTAACACAACAATGGAATATCACTATACACCTATTAGAATGGCCAAAACCCAGAACACTGGAAACACCAACTGCTGGTGAAGATTTGGATTTTACTAGTATCACACTGTCTTAATTACTGTCTCCTTATACTAAGTACTTGTTTTTAACATTTATGTATTTTTGAGAGAGAGAGAGACGGCATGAGTAGGGGAGGGGCAGAGAGAGAAGGAGACACAGAATCTGAAGCAGCTCCAAGCTCTGAGCTCTCAGCAGAGAGCCAGACACAGGGCTTGAGCCCACAGACTGTGAGAAATGACCTGAGCCAAAGTTGGATGCCTAACCAACTGAGCCGCTCAGGCACCCCTCTTGGAGTCAAGGAGGTTAGTCCTCTAACTTCTTCAGTATTAACTGATGAGTGAAAACAGGAACTCTCATTCACTGCTGGTGGGAACACAACATGGTATAGCCACTTTGGAAGATAATGAGGTAGTTTATTTCAAAAGTAAACAAACTCTTATCATACAATCTAGCAGTCATGCTCATTGGTATTTAATCAAAGGACTTGAAAACTTATGTACACATGACAATCTGAACATGGATGTTTATAGCACCTGTTCATTGTCAAAACTTGAAACATTCAAGATGCCTTTCAATAGGCAAATGGGTAAATAAGCTGTGGTACAGTCAGACAGTGGACCGTTGTTCAACACTAAAAAGAATGAGCTATCAAGCCATGAAAAGACATGGAGAAAACTTAAATGCATACTACTAAGTGAAGAAGCCAATCTGGAAAGACTATATATTGCATGATTCCAACTATATGACGTTCTGGAAAAGGCAAAACTATGGAGACTGTAAAAAGATCAGTGGTTGCCAGGGTTTAAAGGGAAGGAAGGATGAATAGTTGGAGCACTGAGGATTTTTAGGGCGGCAAAACTACTCTGTATGATACTGTAATGGTGAATACATGTCATTATACATTTTTCCAAACCAATAGAATGTCTAACACCAAGCGTGAACTGTAATGTAAACTATGGATTTCATGTGATAATGTTGTCATAGTAAGTTCATCAACAGTAAGTTCAACAAACGCACCACTCTGAAGGGGGAATGTTAATAATGGGAGAAGCCAGGGGTCCCTGGGTGGCTCAGTTGGTTAAGCATCTGACTTGGGCTCAGGTCATGATCTCACAGTTTGTGAGTTTGAGCCCCCCCCATCTGCCTCTGTGCTGACAGCTCAGAGCCTGGAGCCTGCTTCGGATTCTTTGTCTTCCTCTCTCTCTGCCCCTCCCCTACTCATGCTCCATCTCCCTCTCCCTCTCTCTCTCTCTCTCTCTCTCATTCTTTCTCTCCCTCAGAAATAAACATTAAAAAAATAAAAACAAAAAATAATGGGGGAAGTCATTCATGAGTGGAGGCATCATGGGGAAATCTCTGTACCTTCTATAGTCAGTTTTGCTGCTCAAACCTAAAATTGCTCTAAAAAGTAAAATCTATTTAAAAATTTTAAAACTCTTGGACCTCACCAGACATTATAAAAAAGTGAAAATATAATCGACAAATGGAAGAAAATATTTGTAAGTAATATATTTGATTAGAGAATTGTGTTCAGACTACATAAACTCTTACAAATGAACAACAAAACCAATAGAAACAGCCCAGTTTAAAAATGCGCCAATGATTTGAGTAGACATTTATCTGCAGGAGATATACAAATGGCCAATAAGCACATTAAATGATGCTCCACATCATTAGTCATTAAAGAAAGATAAAGCCACAGTGAGATACCACTTCATACCCACTAGGATTGCTAAAGCAAGATAGACAATCACAAATGTTGACAAGGATGTGGAGAAATTGGCATGTAAATGCATGGCTGGTGAGAATGTAGAATTTTGTAGCCACTTTGGAAAACAGCTTGGCAGCTCCTCAAAATATGATATATAGAGTTACCCATGTGATTCTTAGTTGACTGAATTGAGGCTTTATTTCTTAAGGGAGATTTTATGTTTGGTTCTCTTAGGTGTTCTAGAGTAGTATTACAAGTCAGGTAGTATTTTTTATGTTCATGTCTCAAATTTCTGGACTATGATACAGACCTATGTTTTCATATTCTCCAACATTAGAGCTGGTATTGTGTTTTGTTTTTTAAACCTGTAATATAGACTGGGATTAAAAATATATCATACTATTAAAAGACTGGGATTTGATTTTTTTTTAGTTTGTCTTTCTCTGAAATTATAAAAAAATTCTGATTTATAAGGGGACTCTATTATAACTCCCTACGTTTAGGTCCATGGCCACATGTCTTGTCCTTATTTGGCCATTAAAACACAGTCTCTTCGTTCTGATGAGTAACGAATGTTTTCAGTGCAGTAAAAAGCTCAGAGATGGCTGAGCTTTGGTTTTCACTTTCCTCTGTATTTTTGGCCCCCAAATTTTGCTTACTTTTCTGGTGAGATCAGTTATTCATTTAGAAGAATTTAAAAAAATGATCCATATTTCCAGGTGTTTTATAGTGATGGATTTTCTTAGGAAATGTAAGTAAGCCGCTATACTGATAGAGAAGGAAGTTAAGTTAGCATTCTGTATGAGATGCTACATCACCAAGGAATATCTATGATATTTCATCTATGGATATCCGATAAGTAGTATCTAATAAGTCTGAGTCTTTGCTACAATATTATTTTGGCCCCGTTTATCGAGATTTCTAAGTATAACATAAAGTTGAATGAATTCTTTAAACTTGGGTTTGAAAAAGAAAAGTTGAAGATAGATAAAGCATAGCATGAGACGATAAGTATGTACACTTTACTGAAAACTTTTATTGAGTAAAATTATGTCCACTGTATTACTCTATGTGGGTACCATATTATGTACTAGTAATTATGTATTATATAATTATAATACAGATATCTATATAGATATATAATACATACATACAGTGATGCTGGTTTAGTCTGCTGGTGTCTCCTCATCAATGAACTGGTGAAAACGCTTTATTAACTGTAAGTGAGGAACAGGCTGTTCAGTCTCAGCCAGGGCCCCCTTCTTTCACTATCCACGTGTAGTGGACTCTTTCCTAAGTTCTCTTCCCTCATTTATGCCTCAGGCCCTTCTGTGCTGCGAGATTACTTCTTAAACCAAGGAACTGAAGGTACCAGGAAATACTCAGATTTTTTTTGTACTTGTTCAAATTTCCTCTTATAAATTCTCTTTATCCATTATATTTCTAAGTGGGTTGGCACTCCGCACTATGCTTGTGTTGATAATCCAGGAATACCTGCCTCATATGTCTGCTTATCTCCAAAGCTTTTCTGTCTATTTCAAATCTTTGCAAGTTGCGATCACTGACTGTCTCTCACCTTGTTGGTAGGAGGGGCATCTGAAACACCTCATCTCTGACAGGTGAAGACACTCCTTGACCGGGAGGGGTCTGGCCTAAAATTATGTTTTCTATCTGGCAGAGTGAGGGACATAGAGGTCCTTCTTCTGTAGAGCAAGCTACCATGCTCCTTATTTGCAGAGGCTCAGAGGATGTCCATTGACCTCTTTATTATCCTCACTGAGTGGGCAACACAAGCTCTCAGCCTGTGGGTTTTGAGGGCTCACTCAGGTCACAAGAGTCCAGGTATTCACACCGGAGGGAATTGATATGTTTCTGTTGTTAATGTTTGAGAAAAATCAGTGCTCTGTAGCATATCTATACCTATCTTAAAAAGCACAGGGAGGGGCGCCTGGGTGGCTTAGTCGGTTAAGCGTCCGACTTTCGCTCAGGTCATGATCTCGCGGTTCGTGGGTTCGAGCCCCGCGTCGGGCTCTGTGCTGACTGCCGGCTCAGAGCCTGGAGCCTGTTTCAGTCTGCGACTCCCTCTCTCTCTGACCCTCCCCTGCTCACGTTGTCTCTCTCTCTCTCTCCTAGAAATAAATAAAAAACATTAAAAAAAAAAAAAAAAAAAAAGCACCGGGAACTGAATGTCTTTGCTTCTAGCTTTGACCACAGAAGAAGAAATAGGTGTAAGTCTGGTATGACGTTAACAACAGTGTTTCTCCTATTATAGAGGGAGGATGGGAGTGGAATTTACATTTCAACCAAAAGCAAAAAGAGCAATATTTAGTCTCAGCTAACAGACTTTTCTGAAGCCCTATTGTAACTGAAGCGCACTGGTGGCAGCTTTTTACTCATAAAAAATACTTGCTACAGAGCACATACCACTAAATGAACCAAATGTACAAAGTGGGGTTTTCTGTTTAAATAAATAAGCACCATTTGACATCTGGTGAAAATATCTCCAGAGCACCCTTTGTTCTCTTTAGCTTACATTGACGAGGTTTTAAAGTTGAGAAACTGCCCTGTTAGGAAAGGAAGCACATGAAGAAACATGACTATTAGTTTTTCTTCATTGGAAATGTCTGAAAATTTCACATCTAGAGTCTGTAGTTATTATGGGGTTTGGCGTGTGGGTGGCTGAAAATATGGTACTTGGCCTTTTGGTGCCAAACTTTCATGCAGCTTCAGCTGTCTGTATACAAAAGACACGGCAGAACGTGTTTCTTTACTTTTAATATTCGGAATTGTTCGCCTTGCCAGTGGAATAGTGAATATGTGGATGGTACTGTTGATCTTGGAGTCTGCCAATCTCATAGAATCTTAATTGATGAAGATGCTGTTAGGAACTGAGTGAGCATGTGGGTGGGGGTGGCTTAGGGAAAGTCTGCAAATTAGAAAATGCTGCCCTGGACGCCATTTCTCTCCATTTCCCTCTTCACCCTCCACACCCAATTTTCTATGTTTCCCCTTTCGTGCCTCAAATTGATGTCTTTGATGTGTCCTGACCCCTAATCCTCATGTTGATAGAAAGTACCTGACAAATTTCAAAGATTCCAAGTGACCATTCTTGCTTAAAATTTCTTTATATTTTCTTAGGCTTTGGGAAATGAAAAGAAGTGATCTGGAACCCCCAGCTTCTGGGCAGTCTTCTCTGGAAGTTCGATATGGTCAAGGCCTGGTGCTTGAAGTGAGCTGTGAGTCATGAGCCACAACGGCTGCTTTTCTTTCTGTCTGCATGTCTGTCTGCCTTGCCTAGCTTTCTCCTTCCTTTCCTCATGATTTTCTTCCAGCTCTCTTCCCTTTCTCTGTATTTCTGTCTTGTTGTGTGGAGAGCTATTAGAGCCTTCTGCTGTCCTAGGGAAGTTGTGAAGAATAATGGATGGCAAGCTGTGTTTCCTAGGGAAGCCATGAAAACCCCATCTCTGGCTTTAAAGAGCAGAGTCAACAGGAGATGAATCTGTGTAAGGTTCTGTCTTGAAAAGGCTGGAGCTTGGGTTACAACCACTCAAGCTGTGGGCGCAGCACTTACCCTGTTTGTCACATCGAAGATGAATTCCACATGTGGATTGCAGCCTAGGAAAGAACAAGGGACATGGTGTCTCCTTCATTCTTGGTCACATCCATAAGCCTTCCTTTTCCTCCACGAAGCTGGTCTTTCCTGTGTTTGCAGGCTTTCTCTGGAGTGGGTTTGATATACGATTATGAAGAAGGAATACTTGGTACTGTGATATAAAGGGTTTCCTGTAGTTTCCATCCTTGTTCGTGCAACAAGTATTTACTGCCTGTCTGCCGTGGACTTGCCTATCAGGCACTGGGGTTGGGACTGGCTACACAAAGAAAAGTAAGATGGATTTCTTTCCCCTAGCACGCTCACTTTCTAGTGGAGGGAAGACCCACTACATAATTTGTGAGTTTGCACAATTTGTGAGGTACCAAATGAAAATTTGAGGCTCTTGGCTAAAAAGTTATTAAGAAACTCAATATTTGACAGTAGAACACTAAGCAAAGTACCCTTCTAAGCATGGGGCTGGCTGGCTCTGTGAGACTGCATAGGTAGAATGCCCATGAGGCTGGCTGGGAGTGGGGAGAGAATTGATGCATATTGCTACAGGGCTGGGGGAGAGGGCCTGGGAGCGCTCTGTACACAGTCTTCTGGCGGCCCTGGGGACGGAGGGGTTCCCCCAACTCAAGGAGGAGTGAGAAAGCAGTCTTCCATCTCAGAGGTTTCCCTTCTTATCTCTGTGTCACTAATGGACTTCAGAAATATGTATTCCTCATGCTTTCTCTGGGACAGAGTCACCAACAGCTTTGTCTTGCCATACTGAGTGTACTTTAATATGGAAATCTTTCCTTGTTTGGCCAAAAAAGAGTCCCAAGTCATTGTACTACAAAAGTTAATACTCAACAATAAAGTAATATTTTAAAAGAGCCAGTGAGGAAAATGAAGCAAAGATAATGTAAGAGTAGGAAGAATTAATAAAGCCTTAATGAGATAAGTATGCCTACTATGAGATTCTAAACATATGCTAGAAATTGGCTGCACATTTAATTTTTTTAGTTGTAGTAAAATATACATACCATAAAATGTACCATTTTAACTATTTTTTGTCTTAAACTTAATACATTTTTTAATTTTTTAAAAAGCTTATTTATGTCTTTTGAGAGAGAGAGGTGTGGGGAGGGGCGGAGACAGAGGGAGAGAGAATCTCAAGTAGGCCTGTGCTGTCAGTGCTGAACCTGCCGTGGGGCTCAAACCCATGAACTCTGAGATCACGACCTGAACTGAAACCAGGAATCTGATGCTTAACCAAGTCAGCCACCCAGGCACCATAAGAGTTTCTTTAATTTTTTTTTTATTTTTAAGTAATCTCTACATTGAACATGAGGCTCAAATTCACAATGCTGAGATCACGAATCTCACGCTTCACCACTGAGCCAGCCAGAAAGCCCCCATTTTAACTTTTTTTCAGTGTATAGTTCAAGGACACTAAGGACATTCACACTGTTGTGCGGCCATCACCACCATCCATGTCCAGAACTTCTTCATCATCCCAGACTGAAGCTCCATACCCATGGAACAGCAACTTCTCATTTCTCTCTCCCCCGGCCCCTGGTAACTACGACTTTTTTCCTATGAATTTGACCACTATAGATATCCCACAGTATTTGTGTCCTTTTGTGACTGGATTATTTCACTTAGCATATGTCTTCAGAGTTCATCCGTGTTGCCACACATGTTCCAATTTCCTTCCTTTTCAAGGCTGAGTAACAGTCAGTGGTGAGGCTGTGTCACACTTGATTCATTCATCTATCAGTGGACCGTTTATTGTTTCCACCTCTTGGCTGTTATGAATAACACTGCTGTGAACCTGGGTGGACAAATATCTCTGTGAGTCCTTGCTCTCAGCCCCTTTGGATGTACACCCAGAAGTGGAATTGCTAGATCATATGCTAGTTCTGTGTTTAATATTTTGAGGAATAGCAAATATAGTTTCGAGGTGTCTAGCAGTCTCCTCCAGAAAGGAAACATAATAAAGTATACGATCCACAGTACCCTCCAGGTAAACACAGATCAGTTGTTTGTGAGACTAGAAAGAACTTTCTCCCATGGGTGCTTATAAAGAGGTTGCTCTGTATTTTGATGAGCGACAGGATCTAAAATAGCCTAAGAGTAAAGATAACAGTGTGCGTGCAGGGGCTGTGCGGGGCCGCCGATGGCATTGACTCCGCATGTGGTCCGGGCTTGGCGTGGCGCTGGGTCCTCTTCGGATGAAAATTCAAAAGAAGAAAATGGTTAGCAGGGGAGAGAGAAATTTAAAAGCACATCTAAGGGAAAAGGGAGTTTTCTTTAGGAAAGCGTTCGTAGCACTTTGCAATTTAGAAAAGAGCATTTTTTTTTTCCAGGATAAACTGTCTTTATTTCTCTCTGTAGCAAACCGTATTGCTGCTGAACCACTGCTTACATAAACTTCAAGCGGGCCACTCAAGCTGCCCGACTGCTGCTTAATGTCCTGAACTGAGCTTGCTTGTCCTGCAGTGTCTACCTAGTGTTTTGTTTTTGTTAGAAATTCACCTCGCCTTGTCTACTAAGGAGAAAGAAAAGGGAAATTACACCCCAGAGCTCAGCAAGCCTATAAAATGGCAGAGATTCCTGAAGAAGACTGCCCTGAACCCCAAGGCCCTGGCTGCCTGCGCTGTAATGAAATGCATGACTACGGGAGATAATAATAATTGCAGCAATGGCTCGTTACAGCTCCCGGATGATTTGGGGCTGTCAGGAGTACGCTGTCCTCTGACATCCCAGGAGGCGAATGGCATCAGTGACTGCAGGCCCTGATTGGGGCAGTGAAATATTGCTGGCAAAAATTAAAAGGTCCCCGTGTCAAAATAATTCATGATATGCATATCTTCCATTCTGATGAAATGGCTGATATCCGGATTAGCAAGATAATAAAACTGATCAGGCTACAGTTAAACAATTTAAGTTGGAGAGCTGTTCATTTTGTAAGTGTCACTTGTCAGATCAGGGGGTCAAAGCAGAATGAAAGGCTCTCCCCGGTAACCTTCCAGTGATGTGGATCTGGAATGTTCTTCATGATTTGTCCAAAGTTTTCATCATCGGGCTGCCGAGTAGCATTACCGCGGCAGGCTGTATTCTGACATTCAAATCCCCGGAATGACAGGTTATTAGGAGAGGAGAAGTGGCTCTACATACATTAAGCGCCGTATCTCTGACCTGTAATGTGAACTGATAGTGATATTGTAATTGAGTGAGTCTGAAAAAAAGGAGGGGGGAGTCTTTATTAAAACATGGGAATGGAAAGGAAAGCATTTATATTTCTGATGATTTGTGGGTTTGTAAAATAAGCTTTTGGGTGATGATTTATTTTCCATTTCTAAAAGGCTGAGTGGTGTGCATAGTGTTTATTCGGTGTAACAGTTATTAAACTAAGATAACACGAACTCTGTCTGCCTCTTCTTCACATGCTGAGCAGGCACAGATCAAAAGAGATTTGTTCTATTAAAGGCAGGAGCATCACAACGAACAAAATGGACCCCAGTACAACCAGAGGCTGGGGCCATTCCAAAGGGTATTTGCCTCCTCGCTCTAGCTTCATGCCCTGCTCTGCCTGAGGCTGGGAGCTCCCTCCTCCATGAGCCCAGACAAGGGGGGTGGGCAGCCTCCCTTATTGGTGTCAGCGACTCCATTGTGGCTGCTGTCATGCACTGAGAGACTAATTTAATGTGTGTTAATAGGGTCTTAGGTGATACCTTTCAGCTTTCTCATGAAATACCCTAGTCTCAGGAAGTAAGGCAGGCAGATCACAGAATTCAGTGGTGGCCGTGGACCCCCTCAAAGAGCCTGACTCTTGGGTGACTGTAAAGAAACTCAGTGTGTGTGTTCGTGTATGTGTGTGCACACATGTGAATAGGTGTATGCATGTGTAGTGTGTGTGTGAACACATACATGTTTGGGATCTTCTCCTGATTTCATACGGTAAGAATTGCGCATAGAAAGTTCTAATAGTATGAGCACTGTACCAAGCATTGGGAAACTGAGAGTCTGGGATGAAGTTCAGCAGTGACACACTAAGTAACTTGGGCAGGTTAGCCACCATCTCCACCTGTAAAATGGCAATAATAGTTGTCATGGTGCTATGGTAAGGGAGAAATGGCATGATGGGCGTGAGAACCATTGTAAACTATGATATAAACCTAAAGTATTGACGTAAAACTAAGAATAGGACTGAGGCATGTTTAGCTCCATGCAGATGTAAGAGTTTATTATGTCCACATTGTTAAGATTTTATCACAGGAGCCTTAACTGAGATACCTCAGTATTTGAAGTGTGTTCTATAAAAGTACCCACCAATGAAATATGGTAACTTCAAATATTTTGGAAACAGTTATCTTAGGTCTCTGTTTAGTTCTCACTATTACAATAATCACCTACTTTTTATTTTATGAATTTTTCTTGGGGGTGTATGTGTGTAATAGCTGTATGTACAGAGGAGGCATCTCGGCCTTCCCCAAAATTGAAGCTAGTGAATATTGCCCTTCTTGTTTTACAGACGGTGGTATAACATGGGCGTTTGGAAATGCCAGTAGTGAGTCAGCAAAAGAGAGAGTAGAGGCACGGATGGTCCCGGATTTCTGGCTTAAGAAACTGGGGGAATGATGGTGACATTTTTTAGAGATGATGAATGCTGAGAAAGGGACAGTTTCTGGGAGTAAAAAATAAGCGTTCTCTTTAGGACAGATCACATTTGAAATGCCTATTATGTTATATCTTTTCTTGCTATAAGTTTAAGGATGGTATCCTTGAATGACTTTTATATGCACATAGGAGAAATGTTATAAATCAACTAACTTGCAAATGTTTTAAATGAATTTTCAATAGATAAATTAAAAACAATAAAAAGGATTTGCTTAAATCCAATAAACAAATCGATGTATAAGGACCTGTATATAAAGAATGCATTAGTAGCCTCACCTTGTGAGAAAAAAAAAAAAAACAATAGAGAGTAGTGATTGTTGTGAGTTAGGGTAATCTTAGAATGCTTCCTGGAGGAGGTTAATTTAGAAGGAGACTAGGAAGATAGGTTGATGGAGGGAAATATAAGGGTGTTTCAGAGGGAAAAACAGCGCCAGTAACTACTTTAAATACATCTCTGAATGGAGGCCTATCAAAATATGAATTTCCTATTTAATAAGAGCACTGGATAAGTAAATGGTAAGTAGAGACAGAGGTAAAGCAAAATTGAAATGATGGCAGGGCAAGAAGAGCTAGTGATTTAGGAATAGCTGTGTGGAGTGATGTCTGTGTGAATTCATATATACTAGATGCTTTTTCAAGGTCTCTCAGGGACTGTGAGCCAAGGATAGGCAAGTTAAGTCAGGTTGCAATTCAATGAGCAAATTTACTCCTACTCAAAGCTAAATCACCAAGGGATTTCTGGATGGAGAGTAATCCCAGGTACTGAGATCTTGGATAGCCAGAGGCCAACTCTCAACAAATGGCTATAAAGATGTCAGTGAATGGCTTGTGTGTGGCCACTGGGGTGCCTCCCACTCTGGTGACATAAGAGGGACAGGAGAATTAAGGGTAGAAGGATTTGGATAAACACTGTTGATAAATAAACTATTTTTGTGCCTGTCCATTTTAAAATTTGTCTGAGGCCACCAGCCAGAAGTAGTTTTGCTATATCCTAGGCTAATTCACACTTTGGGAAGATCTGGCTCAGTCTAAGCTACTTACAGCAGTATAGAAATTTTGAGTTATTAAACCAAAGGACTTGTTAGCAGCAGGTGTGAGAAGGTCTGTCATCTTGTTCCCAGTTTGGGGGTCATTTTAGATAGACATTAATTTAGGGTTAAGAGTTGGGCTTATATGAGATGCCCAATGAGTATGAGGCCACTGTACTTGTAACTTAAAAAACAATATATAAAAATTGGTTTTTATGTGTATAGGAAGTGTGTTGGGAGCCAGTTCTGAGCTCATAGGTTGAGAAAGAGCTCCCTGTGTGGTTAGGTGAGTTGCACGTCTTACCGACCAAATGGTGACCGATATCCACTCCCACCCAGTTGTTTCTGCTTGGAGCACCGACCTCCAAGCCATCTTTGTTGATCAGTATTCAGAGTGACTTATTCTGGCCTTGAATATGCTGATTGCACCTGTGAAGGAACCTATTGTAGGAACTTCTCCTTTTGTGATTATGGGAGCAAACATTTGTGTTTCCTGAAAGACCTGTTTTTCTTAATACTTCCCCTTAAACAAACAAGCTATTGACCCCTGCTCACAAAGAACTAACCTCACCCTTTTTATGCTAAAAACATTGTCTTGTATGCTAACGATACCTCCCTTCCCCAGAGGATAAGCGTCTAAATCCCCTACCTCAGTCACTGGTGATGAACGTTATGCAGGAGTCCTCTACAAATCTATGTTCCGGAAAATTCTTACATATCAAAGGAATTTGTCATCAGAAACCATTGTCTAAGGCAAATGCCACTTCTGTGCCGTCCCCCAAACACTTAATTATAAAATAAAGTTGAGCCCCAGTCAGAGCAGAGATGCCTGCCTGGTGACCAGAAAGATTCTCGGGGCCTCTCACCCTCCCTCGCCGACACTGTCTATCCTTCAGGGACCCCTGGGCCCGCCGGAGCCCGACTCTGGCAGAAGTGTTGTCAGTATCTGTTGTGCAGGACATTGGAAGAGAGAGTTCAGTAAGAGAGGAACAGTGACTGAGGGTATCACCCAATCTTGCTGTGCTGAGATGCTTCCATAGGAGGACTCTTTCTATTATCCACTCAGTGTTCAAAAGAGGTGGTTAACCTCATGACTTCCTGTAACAGCTGAGTTTCAGAAAACTTCCTGAATTGATATATTCCAGTGTTTATTTATAATCATAATTCCATAAAAGGTGAAAGTAAAGTTGAAAATAAAATAAGATGCTGAATTAAAGTTGGTCAAATTTCTCTTTATGTTGAAAGTCTGAGTACAAGAAAACTTCAACTTAAATGCCTTGCCAGGACCAGCACAGATAATATAGTCTTACATGGGTCAATTATGTTATTTGGATGCTGAAATTATTTTACATTTTCAAAATAATAATATTGAGTCCCTTGGAAGTCTTTGGTTTAATAAATACACATGCTCTTGCTTCAGATGTGAAATCTTTAGTCAGGTGTTCAATGTAGATTAGAGACTTTTTGGTTATATCGATAAAATGTTTATATACTCATTTATTGTAGATATGATGTGTTTCAGGATTTCATAGTAAGGAAAGTAAAAGTGGAAAACATCCTGGGAAGACCTAACTTAGTTGCAAGTAATTCCCTTAAACCAGATCTTTGGGCTTCCCTTTTCACCTGCCACCTTTTGTTGACATAGTGTTCTTTGTCCTTATTTTTAAAATGCCTTTACCTTTATTATCATTACTCTATTTTATATAGTCCCATATACACTTCTAAATATATATCCTCCACTTATCAGAAAGAGTGAAGTAGAAGAGACAGCCAGGGCTGTTTAGGATTGTTTTTATTAATTTTTTGATTAATTTGAATAAAATTTTTAAAAATTTAAATCCAAGTTAGTCAACATACAGTGTAATAAATCCAAGGTAGTTAACATACAATGTAATAATGGTTTCAGGAATAGAATTTAGTGACTCATCACTTACATATAACACCCAGTGCTCATCCCAACAAGTGCCCTCCTCAGTGCCCATCCCCCAACCAGCCCCCCCATCTCTCCTCTAGCAACGTTCATTTGTTTCTTAAATTCCATACATGAGTGAAATCATGATATTCAACTTTCTCTGACTGACTTATTTCTCTTAACATAATACACTCTAGTTCCAACCTTGTTGCAAATGTCAAGATTTCATTCTT